AGAAATTTCACCTTCATTTTTATGTTGGTTAATTTTGTACAGGGATTACGTGCATTTTATTTCAACTTGCTTATTTATTGATTTATATATATATATATATATATATATATAAATATATAATATATAAATAATCTCTTTAAACGACACTAAAACAAATAAGATAAACAAAATAAATCTTTTTTCTAAAAGCTTTACTTTTTTTAGTTGTAGTTATTCACTTTTTTTATGCTAACAATCACAACAAATTCTTTCGAAGAATAAGAAAAACAAGGCAACATCCATTACCAGAAAGCTCCTAAAACAAGGCACTTGAGTCACCAAGTAACAACAATAAAGTTCACAGAGATGAAAACAATAAAGTCCACGAAGATGACAACAAATAGGAACAATAAAATGAGAAATGACCATGGAGGTGGCAATGAGAAAACACCATGGACAGAGAAAAACCTAGCAAATACTAAGTCTTCTCCAGCTCAAACCAAAACAAGCAATAAGATCAGAAGGAGAACAAAGTCGACAACATAATAAAAGTTATGCCCAAAGTCAGTAACATCAAAGAAAGTTATGTCCGAAGTGGACAACATCAAATAAAGTTATGCCTAAAGTTGGTAGTCATGCCCAAAGTCGGTAGTGCCAAAGGAAGATAGCAACATCAAAACTAAAATCTACCCAAAGTCAACAACACCAAAGAAAATATTGTATGAAGTCGACAATGCCAAAACAAAGTCAACCTAGAGACGACGACACCACAAAAAGCTTGCCTAAAGATGACAACACCAAGCAGAGATTGCCTAAAGTTAGAAACACAAGTCGGGAGGACTATTCCCAAATAGCGACTTGATGAGCTCGACTGGATAGCCACTCAAGGAGCTTGACTGAATGGAAAAATCATCACAAAACTCAACTGAATAAGCCACAAGGAGCTTAGTCGAATGGATAAATCTAAAAAAGCTAAGCAAAATAGCCACTTAAGGAGCTCGCCCAAATGGCCAAATCGTTGAAGAGCTTGCTTGGTTAAGCCACTTAAGGAGCTCAACCAAATGACCAAATTTTGAAGAGCTCGACAAAATAGCCACTCAAGGAGCTCAACCGAATGACCAAAAGATTTAAGAGCTCGATAAAATAGCCATTAAAGGAGCTCGACCTAATGGCTAAATCTAAAAGAGCCCAGTAAAATAGCAACTTAAGGAGCTCGGTCGAATGGCCAAATCATTTAAGGCTCGATTGGATTACTCATTGAGAGAACTTGGCCTTGAGGTCTGATTACTTAAAGCTCAACTGGATTACCCATTGAGAGAGCTTGGCCCCGAGGCTAGATTACTTAAAGCTCGACTGGATTAGTCATTGAGAGAACTCGACCCTAATGCCAAATTACTTAAAGCTTGACCAGATGAGCCATTAAAGAGCTCGGCCTCGAGGCCAAATTACCTAAAGCTTGGCCATATTAGCTATTGGTAGAGCTCGACCTCGAGGCCATATTACTTACAACTCAACTGGATTAACCACTTAAAAGAGCTCAACCTCGAGGGTAATCCACCTGCAAAACACGACCGAATGCTCCAACTACATTATAAACTCGGCCTTGAGGCCAATCAACCTACAAAAGCACAACCAAATGGTCCCACTATATTAGAAACTCGGTCAAATGACCAAATCCATCTATGAACTACACAAATCAGCCTAAGCCAACTATTTGATATGACCATGTACGTCAAACCAAACTTTTGAGACGTGGGCTTATGCTCCTATTTGACCCAATAGATATTTTAAAAAGTACAACCTAATAAAACCCTTTAAGCCTCTTCATTGTGGAAGAGTCACAACCTATGCTTATTTGGATCATATTCTCTCATATTATAACTAAATCTTGATAATTTGATGTGTTAGTTATTATTTATCATTTAATTACTATTTATTATACTGTTATTTTACTCTCAATATAATTAATATTTATTTCTTGAGGAATACTCATTCTTACACTCTTTTATAAACACTTATATACTCTATTATATAAAAATTTAAACTCTCGTTAAAGAATGCGTTAAGGAGTAATAATCTTCTATTCTCATACTATTTCCAAACAAAAACAAGAATCAAAATCTTGCCATCAAACCATATTTAGGATCTTGCTACATATTTACTAATTCACGCTTAGATTCGGTAACAAAGAATATCTATAGAATTTTGTTTAGAACAATCATGTGTTGAATTTAGATTGGTTGGAGTGATAGAGAATAATAGTCATTTTAAAGTCCAAGTAACTGATTATGTAAAAATGTATACTTTGTTTGTGGTATGTGAACGGTACTTCAGTGAAAAGCCTTTTCCGATATTCTGTATTTTTTATTCGTAACACCATTTACCCCACCACCAAATCCACCAAAAGCAAGATCAGTGATTTGGTGTATGTTGTGAAAAAGAAAAGGATGTTTGCGAGGACAAAGTGATTAGTGGAGGTGGTGAGGGCGGGACCCAAAAGAGTGTTGTGGATGCAAAATATCATTTCCCGTGAGTTCCAAATCAAAATCCCGCAGAGCAAAGAGCACCCCGTGATCTGCTACTCCTCACCACACAGTTTCACAACTCATCTGGTGTATCTGTGATGACTCAATCGATGTCGCACAAGCCTCTGGACTCGCGTCACTCCATAGACTCCTGCATGTTGCAGCTCCGCAGCTGGAAACCCTTCAAGCTCCAAGATGGGCCCCACCCCAAACCCTACTACTACAAGCGCCCCTGCCTCTCCGATCGCGCAACCACGTCGTTTTCCCTCGACATCACCAAACTCACCCTAGCCGACGCCGATGACAACACCGCCGCAAACAACCCCAACCATCGCCCCACCAATTACCGACTTGTCGCCCGCAAGAGGCGCCGCCGCGGCTCTAGATCCGTGTCCGGCCGCAGCAGCGACCGAAGTGGCACGCGGCGCTGCTGCTCAGTCGGGGCATCCGCCGCTTACGGCACCTGCTCCGACTTCCCGGTGGCCATGGGCACCGACTCCAGCGGTGAGCTCTTCGGCAACGGCGATTCGAATTGGTCTTCGGATGTTAGCGAGGCGAAGAATTCGAGGAGGGAGAGAGAGAGGGATGGCGAGAGGGAGAACGTAGGTGTGGGGTTTGGGGTGAGTGGGTGTACTGACGCGAATGGGAATGAATCGGGGTATGGGAGTGAACCGGGTTATCGTGGGGATGCTGAGTTTGGATATGGCGATGAGTTTGATGAAGAAGAAGATGATCCCAGGTTGTTGTTTTGGGGCGATCAATTTGGAGGTAAAGCTTCTTCCGTTTTGGGTCCTTTCCTTCTATTGCAGTTCTTTCTGTGTCTTTGGAAACTCGTGAGTGATGCTTCCTGTGTGTATAGTCGCCAACTTGTTGCTTTGCTTTTACTTTTGTTGAATTTCTCTAGTAGGTGCTGGTGAAATTTTGTTTAGAATGTTTAGCATAAACCGATTGGTTTTCTTTGTCTGCGAGTTCTTTAACAAAACTTGTTTGGATTATTGATTTTGCTTCAAGAATGAGGGTTCAATTCTTTGGGGGTAATATTCCGCCTAGAAGCGTGGCGCTAAAACCTTGTATTAGGATTTTAGATAGTGGAATAGCAGATAGCGGGATGGCTGTTATTTTGTAAATTTTTATGTAGCTTATTTAACACATACTTTATATATATATATATATATAT